ATTTATGCATTGCTTAATCCAAAGAGCCGAAGCGCCATTCACACAGACTGCATTAAAAAACATATGAGACGCAGTGAAAAGGAATAAACCTCCACAAATTTGTGACCGGTTTTCTAAAAGTTTAAACTGTTTTAACTTTGCATGGCTTTCTATACATCTCTTCTGTGAGACGCGAGCAGCAGTCATATTTGTCCGTCTAAAAAATGAGCTGAATATGCGTTCTGTGTGAATGGCTTGGTTTCGGTTTTAACCCATTCAAGAACTTCTCCGCATTGAGCCACTATATTTCTCTAATCTTGTGATTAAACTAGCCCGCGTCTTGTGGGCTAGACTAACAAAACATTAAAATGCAACGACGTCACTTACATCATCACCGCATCTCGTGCTCCACTGATGACGCTCCCTGATGCACACCTAACATTCAAATGCAAAAGTTTATTTTAAATTCTACTAATATTCATTCTTTATTCAGTTATTCACAATTTTTTCCTCATCACAGGCAGGCACAGCACTCATTTCAGCATGTGTTCGTGTTTGTGTGTGCTGTCTGCGTCACTCACAGTACGTGCCTATATCGTACGCTATATCAAACATTTTCTCTATTGATATCGAAGAAGGTGTACCGTCGATAAATATCGATACCGTTTTATCGCCCAGGCCTAGTTCAGAGTTAGTTGGGAGAGTGAGAACATAGAGCAGCGAGTGCTATTCTTCCTTGTTTTTCTTCTGTTTCCTTCTGTGTACGGCTTGGGTTATGGCCATAACAGTAACCCTCTTCAGTGCTTTAAAGGTCACATATTTTACACCTTTCTGGAGTTTTATTTTAAGTCTTGATGTCCTTAAGAATATATATTTGCGGTATAAGTACCAAAAACCATCTCAATATATTTTTACAGCTCCTCTCTCAGGAGATCTGCAAAGAACACGTCGATTTTGGCCTGTCTAATTAATATTCATTAGCCTCTCTTCTGATTGACCTGTTGTTTTCTGAGTGATGCACGGCCAGGCCAGAGCCACTGAGAAACGGCTCTGAGTTATCATGAAAAAAGCCAGGAAATTTCAGTTTTGACAATATGGGACCTTTAATAAAGTTACAGAGCGACTGAGAACGCCTGGTTTCATTAGTAGCGGCCGAATCGGCGACGACAGGAGACAACCAACCACCTCCTCAAACGCACTTACACAGGATGTTTCAGAATGGTAATTCATGTTTTGTTTTTTTTGCAGTAAATACATAGCACCTAGACCTCAGTTATCATGAAAAAAGCCAGGAAATTTCAGTTTTGACAATATGGGACCTTTAATAAAGTTACAGAGCGACTGAGAACGCCTGGTTTCATTAGTAGCGGAACGCTACATTTGGTGTCAGAAGTGACGGACTTGACGCGAGATCTGAGCATTCACCCACGAGATGGATTATGGGGCGTGGGCGAAAGTGAAACAAGAGGTGCCGGAAGAGATGGTAAGAGAGAAAGGCGAGTGTTTGTGGACACACGGGCCGATGGCGGATCCACACTAGGCTCAGAGAGAAGTGGCCAGAATGAGAGACACTTTCATGCTACAAGCTGCTGAAGCTGGCTTCGCGCCTCCCTTCCCTCCGCGCGCTGAGTTTGTAAATCAACATAATGGCGGCGACATGACTGCGCAAGCGCGGGCTGGCATGACGCACTCTCGCGATGACGTGAAGGCACAGAATGTAAAAAATCATGGCGGCTCCCAGGCCCGCAGCGAATTCACTGTGACACTGATGTAATGATGCCAATAGTGAGAGCTGTGGAAATGACTGAATCGCGCTCAAGGGCACCTGCATGGATGGAAAATTCTACAAATGCTTTGACGCTGCGCTCGAGCCGCTCCGCCTCAGAGCCCCGCCCACGCCGCCGACCTTGTCCGTTAACACCCACTGGCTCTTGTTCAGAGGATGGAATGTGCAATGTCGAGAGAGAAACTAGGATCTCAGCTTTGAGGGACATTTGGTCAAAAAAACTGTGATGGCTTAAGTGAGCAACAAAAAGTGCGTTCGTGGGAACTCATGGTGGATTTCAAGGACATTTTTCCTCTCAATGAGAATGAAGTAGGCCTAACTCACTTAGTGCAGCATGATATTGACACAGGAGATGCCCGCCCGATAAGAGTAAGACCTCGTCGTCTCCCTCTGACCCGACAGGAAGCTGCGGATAAGGAATTGGAGGAAATGCTACAGGCGGGTATTGTTGAGCCATCAGAGAGTCCGTGGGCTTCAGCAGTGGTAATGGTGCCGCGGAAAAATAGTTCCAGATGGTGATTCTGCATATATTATAGGCAGCTCAACAAAGTTACGGAAAAAGATTCATATCCCCTACCTAGAGTAGATGAGTCACTTGACTTGGTGGCTGGTTCGTCCTGGTTCTCCACCCTTGACTTGAGGAGCGGATACTGGCAAGTGCCATTGTCTCCTGAGTCTGCTCCCAAAACCACATTCCGTACAAATAAAGGCCTCTGGCAGTTCAAGGTCCTTCCGTTTGGGCTCTGCAACGCTCCCGCCCCATTCGAACGGCTCATGGACAAGGTGCTGGAAGGAGTCCCTCGCCGTGAGTGTCTTGTATATTTGGATGATCTTCTAGTCCATGGGGAGTCTGTCGATGAAGCACCTGAATCCCTCCGTCGGGTGCTGGGAAGAGTAGCGGCAGCAGGTCTGAAGCTGCATCCAGATAAATGCCACCTTATGAGGCTGGAGGTTGAATTCCTTGGTCACAAATTGGGAAGGGAAGGCATAGGCACCCTGGAGGATAAAATTAACACCATCAGAGATTGTCCAACCCCTACAGACCTGAGACAATTGAAAAGTTTTCTGGGACTAGCCTCTTACTATAGGAGATTTGTAAAGGGGTTCTCTTGCATAGGGGTGCCACTCTTCCGCCTCCAGCAATAAAAGACCATGCCTTTGTCTGGACTGATGAGTGCCAGAAGGCATTTGATACACTTCGGCAGGCGTTGATTGAGGCTCCAATCCTTGTTCCACCTGACGCCGCACTGCCTTTTATTTTAGACACGGATGCAAGCAATGTTGGCATGGGGGCGGTGTTATCGCAGGAAGGGCCTGATGGAGAAAGGGTGGTGGCATACTTTAGCAGGGTCTTTAACAAGAGTGAGAGGCACTATAGTGTCACCAGACGTGAGCTCCTTGCGGTGGTAATGGCAGTGAGGCACTTCAAATACTACCCGTGTGGCACACTATTCACGATAAGGACGGACCATGCGGCGCTCCAATGGTTGATGTCCTTTAAGGAGCCTGAAGGTCAAGTGGCCTGGTGGCTGGAAGAACTACAGTCCTGCAACTTTACAGTAGTGCACAGAGCTGGCTCTAGCCACACCAATGCCGATGCCTTGTCGTGTCGCCCTTGTGCTGCTGAGGGCTGCCGTCATTGTGAAAATAAGGAGACTTGGGAGAAGGAGCTGGGTCAAGAGAATGAGGCAGCACAACCTGCATGTGGGGCACCGAGGGTGGTTGACACACCAGAGTGGCATTTGCAGCAGGAACAGGATGACGACCTGAGACCTGTGCTGCGTTGGTTGGAAGCGCAACAGAGACCTGAGTGGGGAGATATTGCAGGGTGCTCGTTGGCCACAAAAGGACTGTGGTCCAAATTCAACACACTGCGGCTCAGCGAAGGAGTGCTCCAGCGGGCATGGAAAGAGCCTGCCACGAGGTAGGACAGATGGCAAGTGGTAGTGCCCAAGGCATTGAGGGAAGCAGTGCTTACAGCTTGCCATGGAAGTACAGGGACTTGCCATTTCGGGGTGTCCAAAACACTCCGCCATCTTCGCCAAGGGTTCTACTGGGGTCAGCACAGAAGGGATGTAGAGAATTTTTGCTGCAGATGTGATGCCTGTGCAGCCTATAAAGGCCCTCTTGACCAGTCCCATGCTGAACTTCAGCAGCAAGCTGTAGGGGCACCAATGGAAAGAGTAGCTGTGGACATAATGGGCCCCTTCCCCATCACAGAGAGAGGTAACAGTTTTGTACTCACTGCTATGGACTTTTTTACAAAGTGGCCCGAGGCCTATGCGATGCCGAACCAGGAAGCAGAGATGGTGTCGGATGCAGTGGTAGAAGGGATGTTCAGCAGGTTTGGTATGGCAGAGGTCGTTCATAGCGATCAGGGGAGGAATTTTGAATCCAAGCTGTTTGCAGCCCTGTGTGAACGGCTTGGCATGCAGAAAACACACACAACACCATTGCATCCACAAATCGATGGCCTTGTTGAAAGATTTAATAGGACCATGGGCCAGTAGCTAGCCATACTTACAGCAGACCATCAACGGGACTGGGACACTCACCTTCCTTTCATTCTCATGCCCTACAAATCAGCGGTACAGGACTCCACTTTGTGCACCCCCTGCTTTGCTTACGTTGGGGTGTGAGCTCCAGACCCCCCCCCGAGAGTTGTTGTGCCCCCAGACACACCTACTGTGCCAGCCAGACCAGAGTATGCAAGGCAGCTGCAGGATCTAATGGAAACTGTCCATGCGTTTGCTAGGGATCAGCTGGGAAAGGCTGGTGTGAGACAGAAGAGGAACTATGATGCCAGGAGAAAAGGGAGGAACTTCGAGGCTGGCTAGTTAATTTGGGTGTACAGCCCGAAAAAGAAGAGGGGACGTTCCCCTAAGCTGGACTGCCATTGGGTGGGCCCCTGCCTGGTTCTAGAGAGGGTGGGAGCGGTAGTGTATAGGGTCCAGATGCTGCCTAGAGGCAGGAAGGTAGCCCTGCATAGAGACCGTTCTCGACCCCGCCGCCTCAGCTCACTCTATTGTGTGTTTTTTTACTTTAAACCGCATAAACACATTTCATTACACCAAATACACAAAATAATGTTCTTTTTAGCAGCATCATATGACCCCTTTAATATGACAAAAACAGTGAACGATTATCAAAAAGGTGTTTATTGTCTTGGCAATTAAAAACACATTAAAACAAACTTGTATAATAATTATCTAATAATAATAATAATAATAATAATATATTTATTGATAACCTCTCAGATCACAGTTGTGCTTCCTCAGTACTACCCACACCTTCTGTGATTGGCTCCTTCTTGACTAAGGAATTAATCAGGAGATTTTCAAAATCAGCAGGAATTAGACAGATATATTGAGGCAGTGTGTCTTGTGACTGTTTTCCCACCAGCTTCTTTAAAGACAAATCAATTGATTTTAGGGTGTTGTTCATTGTATTAAACTGTTTTTCCAGAAATTTAATTAACTGCATCTGGCCCGTCTTCTCAGTCTCTTCAGAAGCAACAGGGTTCTGCCTTTCAGCAGGTGAACCACTGAAGTTCAGCTGAGCTGCTGCTGCTGCTTCATCTGTGGTCTGATTGGCCTCCTCTACAATAGGAGATACTGCAGGTTCTGTAGCATCAGTGGGAAAATCACTGAAGTTCAGCTGAGCTGCTGCTGCTGATTCATCTGTGGTCTGACTGGCCTCTTCTATGACAGGAGATACTGCAGGTTCTGTAGCATCAGTGGGAGAATCACTGAAGTTCAGCTGAGCTGCTGCTGCTGCTTCATCTGTGGTCTGATTGGCTTCCTCTACGACAGGAGATACTGCAGGTTCTGTAGCATCAGTGGGAGAATCAATGAAGTTCAGCTGAGCTGCTGCTGCTGCTTCATCTGTGGTCTGATTGGCCTCCTCTATGATAGGAGATACTGCAGATTCTGTAGCATCAGTGAGAGATTCAATGAAGTTCAGCTGAGCTGCTGCTGCTGCTTCATCTGTGGTCTGATTGGCCTCCTCTACGATAGGAGATACTGCAGGTTCTGTAGCATCAGTGGGAGAATCACTGAAGTTCAGCTGAGCTGCTGCTGCTTCATCTGTGGTCTGATTGGCCTCCTCTACGATAGGAGATACTGCAGGTTCTGTAGCATCAGTGGGAGAATCACTGAAGTTCAGCTGAGCTGCTGCTGCTTCATCTGTGGTCTGATTGGCCTCCTCTACGATAGGAGATACTGCAGGTTCTGTAGCATCAGTGGGAGAATCACTGCAGTTCAGCTGTGCTGCTGCTGCTTCACCTGCTGCTTCATCTGTGGTCTGATCAGCTTCATCTATGACAGGAGATAATGCAGGTTCTGTAGCATCAGTGGGAGGTGCAGGTGAATCTTGGTTTGGGGAAGGGCAAAGAGATAAATCATGAATAGTTTATAGCACACACAAACACAAACAAGTTATACAAAGTATGAAATGATCAAATACAAAGTAAAAAATATTAGTACCACTCAGAAATTCAGTAATAGACACTGGTAAGAGTTTTCAAATGCAGATGGTTACTGTTCAACTATAAATATTCTTATTCTAAAAAGAAGAGATGTGAAAGTAACCAAAGGTCTTCATAGTCTAATAAAAATATGTAATTTTAAAAATCATAAAGTTCAAAATAAGAAATACAATAAAATAATACTAAACATCATAATATATAGAAAATAAAAGAGCTCACTAACCTCTAGCATTGGCAGTAGATTCTACCGGTTCTGTGAACTTTTTACTGAGAGTTTCAGCTAAAATCAAATATTCTCTCCTGCTCTGTACCTATAAAGAAAGGATAAGATTAAAACTTCATGTGTTAATGGAAGACATGTGGGCACAGTAATTGGGTACATTTCAGTAACATTTCGTCCTCTATTTAAATCATTCCGACTTCGAGGTAGAAGAAGTCAAGAGAAATTCTAAGTCTCCTCGTCCAGCCCCCTCTGGAACAAGCCGTGCCTCCCCAGCTCACCTCACGCCAGGAACCCCCACATACATCGCCAACGACTCCGGCCACCTGACAAAACCGAGGCATCCCCATGTTCTCCTAAGCACCTCCCTAGTCCTCAGCCCAGGATCGCCGGCTGCTCGGAAGTCAAGACGGCCGGCCGATCATCACTCAGGCCCGCCGGCTGCTGCGGGCTCTACGCTGTTGGACATGGCGCTGCCCCCGGAGTTCACGGCCCCTATCCTCTCTCCAGAAATCCTCTCTATCCTCGCTCTCCTTCGTCTCCTTCTCCGCTGGTCCCGTCCGGCTCTCCATCATCTCCTGAGTTTCTTTCGCCTCCGCTGGTCCCATTCAGCCCTCCTTTGTCTCTAGAGCGGCCCCCAGAACCGGCTCCTCGAAAGCGCCCTCCAGAGCGCCCTCCAGTGTCCGCGTCTAGTAAGTGCCCTCCAGTGCCCGCTCCTTGAAAGCACCCTCCAGAGACTGCTCCTCAAAAGTGCCCGCTCCTCCAGAGCGCCCACCAGGATTCCTAGATTTCCCCAAGAAAATAAAATTTGTATATACCCGTGGCCGAGCCAGCTAAGGCCACGGAGGATCCGCCATGGCAACCTGAACTGTCTGCTCCGCCATGGCCTCCTGAGCTACCAGCTCCGCCACGGCAACCTGAACTGTCTGCTCCGCCATGGCCTCCTGAGCTACCAGCTTCGCCATGGCAACCTGAACTGTCCGCTCCGCCATGGCCTCCTGAGCTACCAGCTCCGCCACGGCAACCTGAACTGTCTGCTCCGCCATGGCCTCCTGAGCTACCAGCTTCGCCATGGCAACCTGAACTGTCTGCTCCGCCATGGCCTCCTGAGCTACCAGCTCCGCCATGGCAGCCTGAACTGTCTGCTTCGCCATGGCCTCCTGAGCTACTAGCTCCGCCATGGCAACCTGAACTGCCTGATCCGCCATGGTCCCCTGAGCTCCCTGATCCGCCATGGCAACCTGAACTGCCTGCTCCGCCATGGCCTCCTGAGTCCCCTGCTTCGCCTTGGCAACCTGAACTGCCTGATCCACCATGGCTCCCGGAGCTCCCCGATCCACCCTGGAGGCTCTCCTTGTCTCCGCCCTGTTCCTGTCCTGCACCAGCCTCCAGGGCGCCCGCCCCCCCCGATGTTACTGTTACGGCGCAGGACATGCCTTCCGCGAGGGGGGCGATATCTGTCACGTGTTGGTTTCTGTTTAGTTCCTGTCTGTTCTTATTTGGCTCATTTCCAGTTTTCATTTAGTTAATCATCGCTCATTCTGTTCACCTGTGTTGATTAATCATTTTGTTTGCTCCTTTATTTCCGTCTTTATAAACCTGCAGTTTCTGTCTGTTTGTCGTTCTGGATTAATGTTATTTTAAATGGTCTCTGTGTGTTGATGCTAATTAAAGACTCCTTTACTTCTACTCCTTGTCGAGCGCAATTACTACAACCACGACCGCGTGACAAATACACATACAATAATAATTTACAATTGATCAATACATGCACATCTCACCATTTTGACTTTTTCAGCAACAGATACAGACTCATCTGAAGAACTGTCTGTATGTGGTAGAAAACAAACAAAAACCATAAGCATTTTAGGGTCAATGTAGATGACCACATAAAAAAAAACAGAAACACTAACAATAAGAGAAAAAGCTCTTTGGCAATCTAGACTCGTCATCAACCTGGCTTAATATGTGCAAAACATCCTCAAGCAATTATAGTGGGGATCAGAGAACTGAAGAACAGGTAATTAACAGTAGATGGTGTGATGTTGAGACAGAGATCACTAATGGTAGATCACTAACTAATGAATCTGAACTGCAAATGTTCATTCAAACTCACCCAGCTGGAATGTTTCCTCTTCAATTCGACACACAGGTATTTCCAGACTCTTGGAAAACAATCTTTTCCAGGACTTTGTCGGTGTCACCTATGGCAAAATATAATGGTAGTGATTTTAAAACATCTCGGCATGATAATAACTTAATGGATCATTGTCAAAAGTAATCTATAGAGTCAAAAAAGTCAAAAACATCAAAGTGGATTCCGACGGAATACAATCACTGTTGTGAGGCTGAACTACAACATATGAATATGGTTCATGTTTTATGGGTTATGGGCTTATAACTTGTGCATTGGTACTGTACAGTGTCGGGAAGGTTACTTTGGAAATGTAATAGGTTACAGATTACAAGTTACCCTACTTAAAATGTAATAAGTAGTGTAACTTTTCAATTACTTTATAAAAGTAATGTAACTGATTACATTTGATTACTTTTTGATTACTTTTCTAAATGTCTATTTTTTTTAACTGTTTATCATTTTCAAACATGTAAACCAGGCAGGGTAAACCTTACAGTAGTACTCAACACTGATTACTGTCACACTTTTGAAATCCTTCATCACTTGAATTAAGATTATATTTCCATTTTAAAGTAGGCATTGGATGCAAAATTCACTTTTACATGTTGTTTGCATATAAATGTATCTATGTGGACACAACCACCCTACAATGATAAAAATCCATTCACTCCTTTTATCAAGGGTCTCAATTATTAAGCTGTTTTGATTTTCTGAGCAGTATGATGTCATATTGTTCAGGCCCCGCCCACAACCGCTGAAGTACTGTCCAATATTAGCATGTTTTCGCCCTCAGCCAGTTGTATGAAGTACATCATTCTCTCCGTGCTCGAGCAGCTGTAGCGACAATGTCTTGTAAGCGATGCAGGTGTTTTGTAGTTTTGTGATGTAGAAGACATCCCGACATCAGAGCCACTGAGGACGCAGTGCATTAGTTTTGTTTTTAATGGTAATGCGCCACTGAATAGACCCAAATTCGTTTATGTCTGCGCAAATAATTTTACTCCAGACTGCTTTCTGAATGAGGGACAATTCAAGGCA